TTAACAATAATTATTGATAATTTCCATAAAGGGAGTTAACTCCCATTACCATAAATGGATTTCCGAAATTCTGTTTGTTTCCCTGTCCATTATGTTGTCTGCATTTTGCTTTCAATCAAAATTTCACCAACAGCATATTCTTTGCATAGGATGAAGGCATCAAGTGTTTTTGCCAATATTAAATTTTATGTCAACTTCACAATTATTAGTATAAATATTGCATTTACTTGACAATGATCACAATTTTCATCTGGCCCTAAATCGAGTTAGTGCAGACATTTTGCTTGGAACTCTCTGGATTTGTGTTCCTGGTGTTATAAGGTTTCCAAAAATGTATAGTTTGTTTTTTTGGGAGGACCATGTAGCGGAACTTCACACTAGAAATTTTGGCTGCAGGCCTGCCTATAGAGGTCACAATTTTTATCCGATTTTGACGAAACATGAAATATAGGTTTACCCCCAAAAGATCTCGGCTGCTTTCGATATTGGCATGTATCGGATCGAAACTTCATGGATTATGGCCCCTGATTGTACGAAAAATCCCGTTTTTAGCTTGTGGAGAGGTCACAATTTTTATCCAATTTTGTTGAAACTTGAAATGTAAGTTTATAACCCAAAGATCTCGGTTCCTTTCGATATTCACGCATATCGGACCATAACTTCCTGAATTATGGCCCCTGATTGTACGAAAAATCACGTTTTTAGCTTGTGAACCCTATAGAGGTCATAATTTTTATCCAATTTAAAAAAACGTATAATTATATCACCGTTACACCCTAAGGACGTCTGAGTTTGTATTTCGTGAAAATCGGCCCAAAATTGACAGACAAAATGGCCGCCCTTCGTTCTCAAATAGCGTAAAAATATGGTATATCAAGGTTGTGGACCCTATAGAGGTCACAATTTTTATCTGATTTTGTTGAAACTTGAAATGTAAGTTTATAACACAAAGATCTCAGTTCCTTTCGTTATTCGCGCATATCCAATTTTAATTTCCTGAATTATGGCCCTTGATTGTAGGAAAAATCACTTTCTTGTTAGCTTGTTCTCTATCCATCTCTCGAAAATGTGGGCGTATCCTGCCTGGCAGCCGCTGGTTTATTTATGATTTCAAGGGTGCTGACGACGAAAATCGTAATAAATGCACTCCTTTCGTAACGAAAAATCCACAACACATATGGCATAATATTCACATGATAGTGTTATACTGAAGAACAATCTATACATTAGTAGTCTGTTGTGTATAATATAACTTTAGTGTGATTAACTCAGTTAATCTCATCAATTAATTAGCACCTTAGTGCCAGCTAGTAGTCAGGAGATTAAGATTGTTGATTGGATTATCATCAAAGAAGCCGCAACAGCTGTACATGTACACGTGTTCATTTAACACGTGAATTAAAATAAGATTTTGCGTGTAACAAATGTATAAAATGAATTGATTGCTGGATTTGGTTGATTCTGCGTCCATTTTATTTCATGTGTGCAACGCTTATGTGGAAACCTGTTTAACGGTTTCATTGGTACCGGAAGTGACATAAGTTCAAGGGTAACGCGGCACCGGTGAAACCCGTCATTACTGCTTCGCAGTTCTAGTTTCATTATGTTTTGATTGTAATATTTATATCTGTTTGTATTTTTTTTTTTTTTTGGAGAGTGGGGTTGCCGGCTCTATAATCCAATTACCTTTAATAAATAATGTTAAAAAAAAGAATTTATTTTTAAAACTCCCATAGACCGCTCCTTTGAGCATGACCAAGTAGTCTACATATATTTTTTAAAATAGGGGAATGGACAAACAAGGGACATTTTAGCCAGTTGTTAGAACACAACCTGTATTATACCTATGCATTAATTTCAAAAAGTCATAATTTAGCAAACACAAATAACTGTCCACAAAACATCAGTTAATTGTTATTACATTGTCAAACCTTATTAGGGGTGCCTTTGGTATGGATGTGGTCGGGCTTTAGGAATTTCCGTTTTGTGGGTATATTGATATTAAAAGGTATTTCCAACCTTATATGGAGGGTGGGGGGTGGAGTGATGGGCCTTGCATTTGATTTATGCATAGTTATATTATATGGATGCTACAGTGTCGACTTTATTAGAGATGAGGAAGGGTGGGCTTAGGGGATCTATTCTAACCAGTTAATATTAGGGTGAACTCGACAATGCAAAGTATGTATGTCTACACACGCAAAGACAAATATAGTAGGAAGAGAGCCTCTAATAAAATATAGCTTCATACACCTTGATTGATTTTGATATTTGGCAATTATCTATATTTATATTCGATTATATATAGGCCTATATCATTGCTATCAAACAAGATTTCCAACCCTTCTCAAATTATCTTAATACTCGGAGCTGTGGTGGGACGTTAAACACGATGCATGCAAAAATTAATTCCACAGTGTCGTGTACTTTCTTAAGAATAATAAATTGATTCATCACATTTACACAGGCTACAAACAGCTTAAAATTTGTTGAGAGAGGACAAGCCTGTCAGGTATTACCGACAGCGGCTTCACAGGGGTAAGAGGGGTAAAGCTTGTCTGGCATCAGGGAAAACTGTCCGTCTGATGGGGTGGAGGGTCCGAAAACACGGCACATAATTGCCAAGTGGTCAGCAGCTGTCAGTTGGACACTCTACCCAATGAGTCATCGCTGACCTAAATCTTTCACATTTATGCAATTATTACATGTTAGCCGACACTGGTAAATACCAGTATTAATAGCGCGCACTTTCTTTTCATTAGAAATATGATTTACAACGAGTCTGGCTAAAAAAAATCGACCTAATTATATTATAGCAAAACAACGACAGTGATCTATTAAATTCTCCTTAAGGTCACGTGTATTTACTGTTATTCGCTATTTACTAGATTTTCATTGGCTGAAAGCTCGCCGTCTCACTACTTTTATTATTGCGAGGACAAAAAATGCTGTCGTTTAGATTATTTGTTTAAAACGTTTCTGGCACATAAATTGGAGTGTGGCAGTTTTGTTTACAACACATTAGGGTTATTTCTCGAGAAATAAATATTAAAACTTTCCACAGCGGTGAGTTGAAACGACTTTTGAAAACTAAGCTAGTTAGAACTTCCCAGTTCTCCGCCTATAGCCTCAGACTGTCCATTATGTAAATACAAAGAAAAACTCCCCTCAGTTGTTATTTCTATTTACATAATGGACAGTCTTCGGCTATTATCAAACTTAAAACATAGACCCCTCTAGCGGTAACAATTTTTATCCGATTTTGATATTTATATTCCAGAAATCTCAGTCCCTTTTGATATTTGCACATTTCAGATCATAACTTTCTGGATTATGGCCCCTGATTGTTCAAAAAATCGTTTTGGGTTTTAGCTTGTTCTCTATCCATCTCTTTCCAAATATGGGCGTATTCTGCCTGGCAACCGCTGGTTACATGTACAATAACATAATCTTTTCCCGATTTTTTCGAGAGGAGTCGATTTCATAAATTTCTGAAAATTGACCCACTTGACATGGAATGACCCATATGCATCATTTGAAACGAAGAAGCCTATTGAATTTCAGTAATTTCTGTTAATTGCTTCTAGAGTTATGTCCCTTGTTATACTCCCACATGGAAATGTGGTTATATTGTCGTCACCCCCTGTTAGTCGTCCACAATCTCTTGTGAACACTTTACACACTACATTTATCATTCAATTCCTTTGAAATTTTTGTATATTGCTTACATTAGTGAGATGAAGTAGTCGATTTAATTTCAACAATTTCCTTTATGTATTCTAGAGTTATGGCCCTTGTTTTATTTTGTATAATCTTGTGAACGCTTCAGCGACAGAAGTTATCTGATCTGTATAAAATTTATAAGCATTATTTAAATTAGTAAAACGATTTGGAAGCCTATTTATAGAACCTTGTGAATTCTCAAAATAAATGACAAAAGTTGTCATCTGATCTGCATGAAATTTATGCGCATTATTTATAACAGAGCAGAACAGTAGGACATTAAACCCCATTTCATTCAGATTTATATGAGTAAAACGGAGAAGCCTATCGAATTTCAACAATTTCCATTTATAACTTCTGGAGTTATGGCCCTTGTTTCACTTTGTGAATGCTCAAATGTCAAATGGCAAAAGTTGTCATTCGATTTGTATTAAATTGATATCAGTGTCTTGTAAATGCTCCTATTACCCACAAAAGAATAAATATGAGACAGTCCTTGTTGACAATACTATATACCAAAAAAACACTGGAAAATAATCGGAAAACACTGGAAAACTACTGGAAAGCACCATGTTATACTGAATACTGGAAAACACCTGAAAAACACTAAATACCGGAAAACACACTAAATACCAGAAAACACACTAAATACCGGAAAATACCCTAAATAGGTAACCCGGAGACTGGCACCCTAAATAGGTAACCCGGAGCCTGGTCCTCTGTGTTCCTGGGTTAGGGTTAGAGTTAGTTTGCGGTTTATAGTATAGCCCTTCTCTGGGTTACCTATTTAATGTATTTTCCGGTATTTAGGGTGTTTTCCGGTATTTAGTGTTTTTCCTGTGTTTTCCGGTATTCAGTATAACATTGTGTTTTCCGGTAGTTTTCTGGTAGTTTTTCGGTGTTTTCCGGTATATAGTATAACCCGTCCTTGTTGACTGCTCGGACGATTAAGCTACTGTGGGTGTATGTTTGGTTGCCTATCTTTTCACTTTTCTGGACCTTTTCGGAAATGCTTGTCAACACAATAAAAATTAGATTTTTTCAAGGATCCTGGATCCTTATCAAGTTTGCTCAACATCCAAGATTTTCTTTCGAATAACCTGCAGTTTAGACAAAGTTGCTGTGTGGGAATATTTCCACACTTTGCGTCACTATCTTTGCTAGATTTTACCTTGCCCATTTTTATACGCCCACATTTTCATGTGGACGTATATGGTCGTTTTTTTTTTAGGTACATGTATTTTAAAATTATTTTTTTTTGTAATTTTTTTGTATAGAGGTGTGAATATTGTAAAAATGTAGGAGCTACAATCGGATGTGTTGTAACATCTTGCCGTAAAAAGTTTCACTTGGTATGTGGAATAGAAAATGGCTCTCTTCATCAGTTTTATGATACATTCAGGTAAGCAGTGTGTGAACTGGGTTGTTATGGTTATATCAAACAGATGTTTTTCTAATTTGATGTGAAACATTGGGACAATGACAGAATGAGCACTATAGATTTTCCCTGTTCTCCTATCTATTGCAAAATGTTGGTGTGTCTTGCATAACAACACTGCTTGTTCTGGTATAGTCATGGTAACTAACCCACTTTTATTTGATATACTTTTTTTCTCTGTGGATTATTATTGTATAGGGTGTCCCCAAGTGTGGCTGTAAAACAGTGCAACTTGGTCAGAGTGGACGAAGTGGATGCAAGAGAGCGGACTTGGGTTTCTCTGATTTCTGTGCATGTGCAAACGGACCATGTTTAAATGCGAACTCCCATGTGCCTGACAGTGATGCTAATTAAACTGTGAATATTCAGCAAGATTTAGACTGTCTGTCATTACCAGACCCCTTGTTATTTTTTTTAAACCATGATTTTTTTCAATAAATCTCTTGAGTGTCACTGTAACATAGGTATCGTTTAATCTTGTGTAAATAGCGTTAATTTCTGTCTTGTGTCTAAATATTCATAACTATAGTTGAAATTCAGCTAATAGTGTTCAATTTGTACTTGCATCCAATTTAAATCTCAGTGTTTAATTTTGATTACCAAGCGTCAAATAACTAGTGTTTAGTTTGTCGACACGTGTTTAATTATAAGCGTCCCGCTTAATTATCACAACTGTTCAATAATAAGTTTGACCGTTCAATTTCCTGAGCCGTGATTAAAATTAATCAAGGTGTCCAATTACGCAAGGTGTACAATTATGTTGTCAAACATCCAATGGGTGCCCTCGCTACTAATCAAGGGGGGTAACCTGTCCAGGTGGTGCCGCGCTTCACGGTTCTACAAGACGCCATATTGCTTGTTTACCTTCTATTCACTACGAGAACGTGCTGAACAGTATTGAATTTGTTCCTCTTGTAAACAATGGAGTTTAAAGCTGAATGTGCAAAGTATGGTTCTTTGACTATCATTGATTTGAGAAAAGAGTTGGGAAAGCGAGGAGCAAAGCTTTCTGGCAGAAAAGAGGAGCGGTATGTATGTTGTAAAGCATTTTCTTTCTTCAATTCTTGGTTTATTCCTTGCCTTTGTTTCAACAAAATCTCAAAAGAACCAAACATCGAGGCTAATAGATATAAGAATACTTTTTTAATCAATGGTTAGGTTAGGCTAACAGTTTAAAGTGTTGATAAATGTTTTATATACACTGAGAAGTAGTAATAGTGTGATTTGTACGTTTATGGTATATATTTCTCACTTTTTAGTAAATGTGTACGAATATCGGTAAAATTCTAATTATCACAACAAATCTAATACGAAGAAGCTAAAATCTGTAGGTACGGTGTGTTAATTAACAGGGGTGAGAAATTGACTGAAAGGTGATATAATTATCGCTAGGGGTGAAAATCTCGGCGACGGTGCGTTTTCTGTACCAGTGTGTTGATTAACGAACGGGTTAAAAACGACTGACACGGTGTGTATTCTTTGTTTGGTGAGTTTTTTCGAAAGCGTGTTATAACTTCTTCAAAGGTGTTTTATCAAGGACCAACAGGCTTTATCTGACGCGTAGGTTTTAAATCTAATTTACCGTGCGATTTCTTGTTCGACCGTGTGTTTTACACAGATCGGTCTTTGTTAAGCGTAGGTCTTTATACATGGATTTATATGCGGGGTAGGTACATATATGCGTTCTTATACTTTTTTTCATGTCTTGATGAATACTACGTGTTTTGTACTTTGTACCATAGTCGACAGGGAATATGATAAGCGGTATCGCATCGCAGTTTGCTAAACAAAAACAATGTAAGTGCGAATCAAATATTCATTTGATTAGCAGAAATTTATCAAATTTAAGGGAATCTGCGAATCGAAGTTTCTTGTCCTAAATTAAGCGTGGAAAAATGTTGAACAAACGTGATTTACCGTTCCCGTGATTTACCGTTCACCTGCGTACGGACATTTTAATCCCTTTGATGTTGGTTGACGAAATTAAAAGTAGTCAAAGATTAGTCAATAAACCAATTGTAAGCTAACATTTTCACAGTCATTTAGATCACGATCTAATGAAGTAATAAGTACAGACTTTATATTTGATAATCCGGTAAATATACAAGCTTGATAATTATTCACAAAACAGTAATTTTTATCTGTAACCATTTCCCTGCGTAAGAATTGACCATGTGTTCCCATCAGGCAACCTACTTGTCATCACGCAACATTTTAATCATTTTCCATTCACTGAACAACAAAATATTCCATAATCTATCATCATATGAAAAATGTATCCACCCAAATCGCGCACTGTTTTTAGCTATACGCATCAGTTTAATTCTAATTCGTTGAACAAAATACTTCGCGACTAAAATGGCCTTGGTTCATTTTGGCGGGAAAAAGGGTTATGTGGATAAATAACAACAACATGGCGACAATGCGTGCATTGCATACGGATGTCGATGCTACAATGGAATTTTAAAATACCGTTTTGTAATGAAGACAGTCAATGTTTCGACAGTTATTTTGCTTTCATTTTCTGCCGTTTAAATGAAGACACGTAATTCTGGAGGAATATTACTGGCGAAAATGTGAAGCAGGTAGCCTACGATCATACGGGTCGGTACGTTTTCACTAAAGGCTATCGTATTACGAAAACACCTACTTTTCTAGGAATATTACAGACGTAAATTGAATACTCTATGGGAATTGAGGTGTGCCAATTTCTTTTTTGCCTTTTGTATTCAGAACACTATATTATGCTAAATAGGCTAACATAAAGCTATTCGTAATATAAGCCTATTAAAGGGGAAGAAAGCCTCCTCTATACACACATAAACATTAATTGTAGTGTAGTCCATACCGGTAGAAATTATGGCCTACAGAAATCGTTCAATACAATACCGTGAAAATTTACTTGTTTGCTATTCAATCAAGAGGAACTGCTAATCAATTTTCAGATTGATTAGCACTTTTTTTGTAAACATCAAATCATTGCTAATCAATTTATTTTTCTTATCATATACCCTGATAGTCAGACTACAGTTATTTATATATTTGATCTTTTTTGTGGGTTAAATGTGTTTACAAATTATTGTGAGTACCACTGAACTATAATGCACGTATCTTAAAATTGATCGCATGCATAACCAACCTCAATTTGATTATCCAATATATTCTAATCTCCATTGATATCAGATTAACGAATCTTGTTTCGAAAGCAAGTTTATAAATGTAAAATTGCACAATTAATGAAAATCTGTAAGTTTTCGTCACTGCTATATTTACTACGCATTGGCGTATTAATATATAAATGTATAGTTTCTTGCCTGGGTCATAGATAGGACTACCAAGAAAAAGTAATATAACAAATGATAACTCCATATCAAATAACACTGATGAAAATAGGGACATGCACCCGCTTCCAACCATGGTGACATTGCCCATCGCCGAACATTATTCAGATTCGATCGAACTCTGTGTAACAAGCTTGTCTTTGAAAGAACAATACTGATATATAGTTCATATAGCCGGTTGTTTTCGATTGTCTGAAATAGCTTTATCATTTTATTCCACAGTACTAAGAAACCACAGGTTCTGTGTCGGTTCGTGCACGCTTTTCACATAGAACTGTTCTTTGATGTTGAGAGGCACACACAGTTAGCTCTGCCCTTTGATGTATTTTTCATTTTTTTTCTCATAGGAAATTTCCGTTAGTATCTGAAACGAAAAAACTGTCCAAGTCATTATAGTATGTTGTAATCAGAGAAATGTTCAAACAAAGAAAGGAACTAGACAAGATAAAGAGTACATGTATAAGCAATACCATTATTTGTTGTCACATATTGATGTTTATATGCGTTCATGATTAAATGTTTAAATTACATCGTAACATATGAATTGTGTGCTTTATTTTTCATCGAATTGGCAATTGGTATTAGCCAAGACATTTGCTGCTACACGCATATAGCTTTGCTCCAATAATGATAGCTTGTGGAATTTTATTGGGTTTTAAAAGACTGGGCAGGGCGAAGACGGGGAAACGTTATCAAGTTGTTATTCAAATAATTCAAAGAAATATAAGGCCAAGAAATATGTGATGACATTAAAAAGGAGAAATGCTTGTGCTACTATGCCAACATTATCACGGCGTACGTGGACTAATGCTAAATCATAGGACTATGATATTTTTCTATAGCATATTTCAAAAAAAAAAAATTATTCAAAAATTTAAAGTCTTTTCAAATAATATTAACAGATTATTTGTTGTTTGGTTGTTCTTCTTCTTGGATTTGTTAAATTATTAAAAGGAAGTTCCAATTCACATAGTAGAAATTTACATTTCTAATTATAATCACCAAACTGACACCAGAGCACGAACTATACGCTACGCTGATCACCAACTTGTAACAACGTTGACCTAGATGTTATATAACTGCTGCCAGACTTTATTAGGGGCAATAAATGGACACACAATTCCATTGTAACTGTATAATGTGTATTATAAACCAAAGGTACATTTATAGATTTCAGAACAGAACAATAATATTCCCAATACATTCACTGTCTTGTTATATGACGACTTTGGTTTAATAAAATTTAAAATTCGTCATGACTCTGTAAGTTAATAACGATGTGTTGTGTATCCTATTTAAAAACTGTAATTTGTCAGCGACACAAACGCCTCAATGGATTATGTACATAAGCTATAGATATTTTTATTACATTAAAGGTGTATTAGAAATTACTGTTGATCTGAAATAGTTTCTTTTTAAAAAATTTATAATGTGGAACTCAATATAGAATAATAAATAACCAGGAATATTGAAAATAAAGCTATATAGGTTAAAACTATGACTTTAAAATATAGTGAATATATCAAAATATTTAACTGCAGCAATAAATTATTATTGCCTAATTATTTAAATAGATTCCTATAAAGGTAGTGGCCTAATTCTTTCACGCAATTTTTCATATCG